AGCTCGAACTAGAATGCAGGTGTTCTTAGGTATTCTTCTCACTACACGTGTGGGCGTGAAGGCCCAGAAAAGCCATCCGCTCTGGGGGACAAGAGCAGAGGTGGAGGTTCCAGGTAGAGAGTGATGGACAGGAGAGAGAGTTTGTGAAGAATCACAGGCAGTTGCCTTCAGCTGAAGAACAGGTTGTGATGTTGGAAGTGAGAGATAAGATTAGAAGAGCAATTAGAATCAGTGTTGGGAGCAGTGAAAGCGATGGGACTTTATGTGGTGGGAAGTGAGAGAGATTAAAAATCTGTGACTTGGGGATTGAAGATTATTTCTCTCCTTTGGGCCTTATCAGTACTGTATGAGAGGAATTCGAAATCGGGAGAAACTGGAGGCAGTGTGACCCCAGGCAACTCAGGCGGTATTTCAGGTGAAAAATAATTCACTTCTGGACCACTGACACACAGAGTTTAGTCAGAGAACGGAACAGTGGATCAATTAATGAGATACTTGGAGTGCACATCAACAAAGTTTGTCAACTGAATGGATGTGTGAGACCCGGGGGAAAGAGGAAACAAAGCTGCGTGTTGTTTACGCGGTGGTGGAATATGCTCCTACCGTTTCCCGGCCCCGTCTTCGCCCGTGTTCTTCATTCTCTTTCATGATGTTCCTCCAGCTAACCACGTTGTGCCACATTTGTGAATGTAGTCAGCATGTCTTCATGAGCACTTTCTATGTGATACTAGCATTGTTCTAGGCATTAAAGATAAGTGCACACCGCAGTCCCTGCCCCCAGTGAACTCATAGTCCGCGGGGGTAGAAACTGTCAAGTAAACAGTGTGAACAGTGTCAGCCTCCATCTCCCGAGAGCAGAGGGATTACCGTGTCTGTCGTGATTATACTCAGGTGTCTTAACATGGGTGCAGTGTAATTCTTTAACATCCAGTGCATTTTAAAATTTCTCCAGTTATCTCAGTAATGTCATTTATAACCTTTTCACTTTTTGAGAGCTGATCAAAGATTGTGTTCCATTTACTTGTCACGTCTTTGATCTTTAGTCTAGACAATTCTCTAACCTTGTCGTTATTTTTCTCTTGGCCATTGATTTTGATGATGTTTAAGAACTCAGGCCAATATGATTGCACTTATGTGGAATATAAAGAACAAAATAAACGAACAAACAAAATTGAAACAGACACAGACACCACAATGATTGCCAGAGGGGAGGGAGGTTGGGGGTCTGGGGGTAAGAGGTGAAAGGATTAAGCAGTACATATTGGTAGTTACAAATAGTCACAGGGATGTAAAGTACAGCATAGGGAATATAGTCAATAATAATGTGATAAGTATGTATGGCGCCACGCGGGTCCTGGAAATATCAAGGGGAACACTTTGCAAAGTGTTCTAACCACTTTGCTGTACACCTGAACCCAACACAAAAGAATACTGAAAGTAAACTAATTGAATTATTTAAAAATTCATTTAAAAAATTAACATTTTTTTTTAGAAAAAGAAAATAACTCAGGTCCATTGTTTCACAGAACGTTTCTCTCTCAGGATTTGTCTGGACGTTTCCTCCCATGTAGATCCAGGTTAAGCATTTCTGTGCAAACGATTACACAGGCTATGTGTCTGCCTCAGCGCATCCTTTCAGACGGCAGTTGTCAGTGGGTCCCCTCGTTGTGATGTCAAATTTGATTCTTTGGGCAAGCTGCTGTCTGCCAGGTTTCTCCATGTTCTGTTCCTCGTCAGCCTTCCGCACGCCAGTGTTTGTAACCATTGATGATTTCTACCCGAATCAGTTCTTGCTGAGTTGTGATACGGTGGATTTCCTATTTCCCTCAAATCTGTCCCCTTGTATTAATGGAACTCAGTCTTCTTTATATCTTTGACACCTACTAGTTCACAGTCTTCTTTAAAGAAGAGCTTTCTCTTGCTCCATGCTTATTTTTTAATATTTTAGTATCAATATGGATGCATCCTTCTTTTCTTTTTTATGTGTATACTAATCCATTCCATTATTACTTAGTGCTCAAACTGTCCTGTGTTTGTCTAATGCTACCATTCAGTCCAGCTCCTCTGCCCTTTGGCCCATGCCTCACTGTCTTTGAGCCTGATTTCTGGTACAACAGTGTGTTCCTGGCCCACTTCACAATGACTTGGTCTCAGCCCCAAATCAGCCATTTCTCTAAGTCTTCTGGTTCCCGCTAGTGAGTAATGATATTTAGACACCAAGTTCCAAAGGCTAGGTGTGCACATTGCTAATGCATTTGTTGCTGGAGGGATGAAGGCGCATGATCCCTGCAGGACTTGTGGGCAGGAGATTGTTGGGGTGCATTTGGACTAAGCATATTCAGAAGCCCCCACTGGAAAATGAATGGTTTTTATTGGCATGGAATTACATTTCTGAGATTGTAGCATCCTGGTTCCCTCAGTACGGTCCTAGAACAGGGGAAGTTGTGGGTTTAGAAAAGTTCGAAATAGGGCCAGAGTCCAAAGTGTCCTCTCCATAATGTGTCAGTGTCCAGACAAGGCATCAGGCTAGATTCAGTCCATCATTCATTGTATGGAGTCCACGTGGCCGTGATCCATGTGGGTGCATGCAGGGCACGGGAGCCCCACAACCTGGAGTCAGGTGCAGGCAGCGAGGGAGAGGGAGAACAAGGAGATGACATATTCAGCTTTCACATGCTTGCCATGGCCTCTTCTGCCCACTGACTCTCTCCTTGGTGTGACGGACAGGTAGGCACCTCCCACATCCCTTAGACCTTACTGCGCCTCCTCCTCAACTCTCTTCCCCCATGGATCAGCAGGGAATAGACCTGGAGTGGTAACTGCAAGCTTCCTGGTGAAGCTGTACAAATGGCATGCCTGTGTTGTCTGGTCTTCCCTTTCACTCTTTCCCCATTACGTAATCAGTATTGTGACGGTATCGCATTGTCATTACTTCTGGGCTCCTAGGGGCCAAGTAGTTTCCCTTCCTAAAATGTATGCTAGTTATTTCACGCTTGTTTTCTTAACATTTTTAGATTTGTAAGATGTTTCCTTTTACTAGTGAAATATATTCAAAACCTTAAATACTTGGAATTTTCTGTAGTTCTTTTAGGAAAAATACAGTTGAGTTTGAGTGTAAATTTTCAAAGTTAGCTAGGTAGTTATTAATTAAAATGTCTGAACTATTTAATGCATTTTAATTAAAATGGCCATCAAACCACCTTAGAATTAAATTCACATATAAATTAACAATCACCAAATGCTCTATTTATCACCCATCTTTATTTGGTTTGTTTTTGTTTTTGTTAATCCTCGCTAGATGATACTTTTTCCATTGATTTATTTTTTTTAGAGAAAGTGGGAGGGAGGGTGGGGGGGGGAGAGAAAGAACCATTAATGTGAGATACATCAATGGATTGCTTCACGAATATGCCCCATCTGGGCGGGGGATCAAACCTGCAACCCAGGTACATGCCCTTGACCAGGAATTGAACCTGAAACCCTTAGGTGCAAAGGCCAACTTGCATACCGACTCACACCAGCCAAGGCTCACCCACTTTTAAATTACATCTTCAAGGTTTGGTACTTTTCTAAAAACATGAATTAGAACAAGATGAAAAGGGGGCCAATGCATATTTCTACTTAATTTTTTTTTTATGGTTTTGTGGTGGGGGTCAATCCTCAGAATATTTTTCCATTGATTTTTAGATAGAGTGGAAGGGAGGGAGGGGAAGAGAAGTGGGGGAGAGAAACATCCATGTGAGAGAGAGACATTGATTGGTTGCCTCCTGCACGACCCCGACCAGGGCCGGGGATCAAACCTGCAACACAAGTACGTGCCCTTGACCAGGAATCGAACCCAAGACCCTCCCGTCTGTGGGCTAATGCTCCAACTGCCCAGCCAAACTGACTAGGGTTCACCCACTTTTTTAGGTTTAGTACTTTTCTAAAAACATGAATCAGAACCAGGTGGAAAAGGGATCAGTGCATATTTATATTTATACATGTATGTAAACGGTAGATGTTTTATTTGCATTCTACTGTATTTACTTGTCATCTTTTCCCTATCAAGGGATTACATCTCAAAAATAAATAAATAAAATTTCCAGAGGAAAATAGTTTTCTATTTCTTTAGATGTAACTACATACCAGCCATACAATTTCCTAGAGAATGCCTGCAAGTAAACTCTCAGGGACAGAAAAAATCTTTGGTGTCGCTTTGTTTTTCAGCTGGGCCAGCAGTATTGTTGAAGCTTTTTTCCTGCTTTCTTTAAATAATATTTAGCATTGACAACTATAAATAGCTATGATTACAAGAAAATCTGGTATTAGCAGAGAGAATTGGCCCTGCGACGGCATCGTTAATCATGGACAGAATGCCGCCCTGAACTAATCACGGTGTGGCGCAACCCTGAAGTGTGAGATCCTCCATTCGCTTTCGTCGTAGGAGAAGAATGTGTCATGCATTCTGTGGAAATGTGTAGTGATAGTTGTGTGTCACCTTAAGTTAGGGTACGATTATCCTCCGATGTGAAGAATTGGCCGTTGGAAGCACGTTCTCAAAAGTGAGCAAGGAGATACAATTTTGTACAATAAGTTTAGACAGCAGAATATCAATAACACCAACAAAAGCACTCCCACACCTGGCTGATTTTAGAACAGAAGCTGCTGCTTTGAACATAACCCATTTCTACAAGGGAAATGTTGTTTATGATCACCTGAGACAAGGATGTGATGAGGACCACATTCCCTCTAAAGTTATTGTGCCCCCAGACTATAAAAGCAGCGCTATGAAATGAGTCAGTGGAGCCTGGTCCTCTTCAGTAGACAGGAATACAGGCACTAATGAGACAGATTTCATTAAGAGATATTTGATTTATGAGAGAGGTAAACTATCATATTTTGAAATTGCTGGCTTAGTCCTAGCATCCGATCTCCTTGCCCCTACCATCACTGTTTCTGTGTGTGCTTGACATTGCTATGGTAACCCCACGGGCTGACAGAATCTGCTCTCTCCACAGAGGGTGATGAGACGGGAGTGATGGACAGTCTGCTGGAGGCCTTGCAGTCCGGGGCTGCCTTCCGCGACCGAAGGAAAAGGACACCAAAGCCAAAAGGTGAACATTATACTTGTTTCATGTTATTTTCTAGGGAACTCGCACAGAGAGCAACCCTTTTATATTTTTTAATTCTTTTAAAGTCATGTGTCAAGAATGTAGTGCCGTGGGCAGCAACTCTTCAGAAGTTGCCTGAGTTTTCTTAATCCTTCCCTTGATGACAAATGTCAGAAAGAGAAGCATTCCAGTTGGCCCGTGTCAGCACATTACAAATCAATGCACTGAACCTGGGAAATCCTGATCAGTGTGACAAGTCTTAGCTGAAGAACCATATGTACTGGATCCCAGTGGAGTTTACAGTGGCATAATTAAATGGGAAGTAAAAGTCACAACATTATTGCTTCCAGAAATACGTAACCTTGGGAAAAAAGTACTGTTACAGTTCCTGAGATGAACAGACCTCTGTATTAAGTTTCTTTTATGTTTTTGTTTTAACAGATATTCGGCAGAGTCTCAGTCCAATGTCTCAGAGGCCTGTTCTGAAAGTTTGTAACCATGGTAATAAACAGTATTCATAAATTGCACATTCTTCTTATCCACTTTTATCCTGTCGATCTGTGATTTTAGCAGGCTGCTGTGAAGTTCTCAAGTTTCACCAAAACTATAAGTGTAAAATGTGTGGGTCTGCACATTTGGTATGAGATTGTATACTCAGATTCTGCCTCCTGATGGTACAGCCTTGAGCTGGTGTCTAGGGTTCTTTTTTCAGGTCTTCAGTGAATGTTTTTTTAAATTATTATTTGCAGTTACCTTACCTTTCTGATCAGTGTTGTCCAGAATAGTCCAAAGCATTGTGCTCTCATACTACTATTTTAAGTAGTGGATTTACTTTACATCAAGATACAATTTGAAATGTTGAATCTGTTACTGTTTTTATTCTGCCGTAATTGCTAGTACAGTTTAAAATACTGTGACCCAACTTTTTGGCAAAGTCATTAATACAGACGAGCTTCATGTGATATTATGGATGGATGTGCTAGCATCACTAAAAAGAAGGTGAGTTCATTTAGTCTCTGGTGTTTATGAGATTGAGTCCTTTCAGAAATCCCTAACCAACTCCTGCAACCCAGTCTCGGGGTGCCAGTTTATGTTGATTGGGTTTTATTTACTTTGGTTCCCTTGTCTCGCTGTTACGTATTATGGGGTTCTGCTTACCTTCTTTAGTCAAAAACAAATTCATCCGTTGTGATTGCCGTTCACTTAGTGTGAGAGTGTTACCAAATTCACCAGCTTCATAAATGGAAAAATACTTGACAGATTGCATTCAAGGGTTGTTTTGGGTGCAGATGAGTTAAGTAGTTAAGTTCTAGTACTCATGTGTGACTTAGTAGAGAAACGTGTCAAATTTTTAAGAGAGCCTAAAAATGATGAGGTATATAAGGAAAAGACATGTATATAATGATCTCTTAATAGCTGTACAGATCCCTCCTGCTCAAGGTAAGGTGCATATGGTAGATGCTTAATAAATAAGAGAAAAGGTCAATCCCTGCAGCAGAATTTTATGTAGATATTTTGGCTTTTTTCCAACAATATGATTTCATTATTGTTTTGCCTTCTCTAACAGGAGGAAAAAGGAATTGTATCTAATCAGAGTAATTTATTGTGGATAGTTAATTTCTAATTTGAGGTGTATGGTTTAGAGTCATTGTGACATACGAAATAATGGCAGACTATGGAGGACAGTGTTTTCCCGGCCCTTCGAGATGGTTTTGTTTCACAGATGAATACACGGAAGCACGGGCTAAAAACTTCTCCAACTACACAGCTCATCACTGACACAACTATGGCCAGAACGCAGTTCTGATTTCCATCACGTTTCTTTTTTGATTACATATGAGTACTTTGATGATTTGTTGTTAGTAGTAAAATATATAAAATAACAATTGAGCCCACATTGTACGTCATTAAAGGGCCATAGCCAACACAATAGCCATGATATGATTATAATGGCATACATGTCCGCCTGCTACGCTTAATTTTTAATAACTAATTTGGGTGTACTGTAGGGAGCATTATTTAAGATACATTTATGCACTGGCCTCAGGGACCGGGTCCTTTTGTGACTGTCGTGTTAGGAAAGTGTTCAGGCTACAAAGGCCCTTGTATAATTACATATAAATTGTGATATTTCCATCCATTTTGTAAAAGCAGATGAGCATAGCATTTCTATCTCTAGTACTAGAGCTGAGATGCACTGTCTTAAGTCTTAAGGCTGTTGTGATCATTTGGCCAGTGGGTTATGCAGCAAGCCAAAGGAGTTGTAAACACAAATATCAAATTCTCTGTTGTAATATAAATGTAGTGGATTGACATGTTTTTGAAACTTACTTTTTTATTGATATTTCTGCTGTGTGTTTTCTTCACATTTGTAAGCAAGTGAGAACAAAATCCAAATAACCAAATTAATCTTTAAGAACTATGTGTATAAAGATAGATTTATCAAACTGGATGTTGAAAAATGAAGAATACAGTAAGGAAAGTATATTCATTGCAACAAGGATTATAATTATTTTTACAAAAAGATGATATTTCAGAGTTTATTTGTAATTTATTTCTAAAAATTACTTGTTTTCATTGAAACTAAACTATATGATTGAAATGTAACACGTAAAACCTTTTGCTTTTTAATTTGCTTTCATGTACTTAAACAAAACGAGTGTTTGATACTTATATTTTCTACAAATACATAGTAGTTAATATTATGTCATAAACTATTTTTAAAAGATCTATAAGATTTTCTGCATAGTTACTAAATGCCAAGCTTTACGCTGAATGTTTTATACATATCCCATTGAATCTTTCCAGTACTCTTATCAACTAGTCAGTATTTTTATCTCCATTTTATAGTTGCAAATAACCAAGGATTAAACAGGTCTGATGGTTTGCTTAAGATCCTACAGTCATATTTCAAATGTAGGCCCATCTGGTTCTCCATCTCTCTGCCATGTCATGCTCTGAATGCACCTGCTCCAACCAGCACCTGTTGTCCCGTCCTTGAGCCCATGAGCCACATGTTTGCATCTGTTTCTCATGACATACGGTTGGACTATTGAGATACACCCTCTCTGAGGTTTCAAGCCTCTGGTGTGTCGAGTCTCTTATTCCCAGGTTGAACCACTAGGTAGCACTCTTTTTCTTGTCTGAGGCTGGATTACAGGGATGTACCAACCTCTGGAATTATTACCACTTTTTATTCCTTTAATAAACACTATATTAAAACATCTATATTAATTTAAATAAATGTGTACTCTTTTAGAAAGATGGTAGATGATTTATGTAGATTACAAATACAGATTTAGAAATATAGATGGCATGTTTTATTTTAGAATTAGAAAATCCTGGTAAGGTATCCTCTGTGACCCTGGTACATATATATTTTGGCAAAAGGTGGTATCAAGCATCGTAACTTCTGTGGGTTTCAAAAACACAGAAATTGTACACACTGGGTGACCCAGCTTTGTGCTGGCTCCAGACCTCTAGCAAAAGTACCTTTGTTTAACCTTTGCCTGTTTATCTTTTGTTTTGCCTGTTAAGGTTTAGGTAGAAATCAAGTGTTTGGTAGTTTTCCTTGCTACATCTCCATTCATTAACTTAGCAAAATTAATTAAACATTTGCTAGGCACTTGAGATGTAGAGATACCCTCTAAGATTCCACCATCTAGTTGGAAGGTACATGAGTAATACTTCTCATTCCTATGTATTTCCTTAATGCGGAGTTAGGGGTAACATAGAGAATTTGGGGACTATCAGGAAGTCTGAAAGACCAGTTCAGACCTGACTTCTAGAAGGACCTGGAATCCAAGCTGAGTTTTGAGAGATGAGTACAAATGAGGCCAAAAACCTGAGGACAGGGTTGGCCAAGGAAGCAGCAGCAGGTGAGGACCTTCTGCAGAGGTCCTTTCTGAGCCCCTTCTGACCCAGGAAACTATGTGCTCGTGTATTTGCATGTTATTCGCTATTATAGTGCTCTTATCAGCACCCCGCTCTTCCCCATTTTGCAATAGTCGTTTCCCTAAACACGTTGTTATTCAATGTCTGTCTCACCTTCAGGGTGGGGGCAAGGCAGGAGAGGACCGTGTCTGTCTGGTGCACTTCTGTACCCCAGTGCTTAGTGGGCTAGGGCCTGACATGAGGATGTTCATTAAGAATGTATTGAACAAACAGACATGTTTAGGTTTAGGCTTGACTGGAACAATTAATGTATATTGAGCAAAGTCTGGTCTCTCAATATCGCCCAAATAAGTGGGATATATGCCTATTGCTGAAGCTCAGGCTGTGAACACAATTGCCCCCATCATCTCCTCCCTGAAGGGGAGAGACTTGATCATCACCGGTCTAGGCTTGAAAAGGTTGTGAGATCAAATGTGGAGGGTGCAGTCTAATCTTGATTGGATTATTCGGACCTTAGATATGGAAGGTTACTTATGAGTTAAAATGTTTTCCCTTGCTTAATTTAGCAAAACTCCACAACAATAAATAAAACAAAGTATCTGCTAATGAATGCGGGGCATTATCTCATTTCTTTACTCAACACAGTGCATTCCAGACTTAAAGATTTTCAGTAGTCTGTAGAATATAATAAAATTTCTTTTTAAGTCAAGATAATCTAAGTATTTATTAATGCATTTTTATAAAGTTTACACTTTATTTGGGTGTTACCAAATAAACTGGCTTAACTGAAAATAAAGGACCAGCTAGGGGGAAAGTATACCGAGTCTGATGCCAGACCAAGGATTTGGATTATTGAGGCTTCTGAGCAAGAAAATGACAGGTCTGCCCTGGCTGGCGTGCCTCAGTGGTTGGGCATCGTCCCGCGAGAAAGGTTGCTAGTTCGATTCCCTGGAGGGGGCGTGCAGGAGGCAGCCGAGGCCTGATTCACTCTCACATTGATGTTCCCCTCTCCCTCTCCCTTCCTCTTTCTCTAAAAATCATTAAATATCTTTTATTAAAAAAAAAAAAAAAAGAGTATGACAGGTCTGAGCAGTTTGTATGGAACTGAAGTGACAACTTTACGAGAGAGGAGAGAATCGACAGGACTTTATAGCCACCTTGATGCTGACAAGGGGTCAGGACAGACTCAAAGAGCTGGTGCGGTTTGAGGAAGGGAGCAGGTCTGTAGCTCCGGGTGAGTCCCTCACAGACGGTCGCTAAGACTGCGTGAACAAATGAGTTACCTAAAGGAAAATCTTGAAATCCAGAGAATGGTAGCCCTGGCCGGTTTGGCTCAGCGGTTATAGCGTCGGCCTACGGTCCAGAGAAATCCAGAGAATGGTAAATCAAGGGCTAAACTTTAGGATTGCACCTAGATGAATGAAGAAGTGAGTGAGAGGCAGAAAAAAAGATGAGGAAATGGGGGGTGGGTAATAATAATGGAGACTTTATTTAAAAAAAAGAAGACTTTCAAGGAGTTGGTTTTTCTCATTTTTTTTTTTCCCCTTTCTCTGTACATTAGTACCACTGAGTGACTGCTGTCGCTCTCTCTGCTCTCTCCAGGACAC